AGCGCACATAATTCCATGAGTGAAAAGACATTAATACTGAATAAGTGCAAAATATGAAATAAGAATTCTTTTCATTGCAGTAGACTAAAAGTATCATTAACCTCTTCATAATTATAATAATATTAATGGTATTAGAGTAATATTTGATTGTTTTTGTGGTCGTTGTATCATTTGAAAACACTCTATGATGCCCTCTTTCCTTGATGCCATAAGCACGTGCTTATTTTGTTTACTGGTTGACCCGACCCTGATTCTAACAATAAGTTGGAACTGTATTGTATTGTATTTATTGAGAAAAAAACAAAATTTAGGAACCTAGGCAGCAATATTACAGGATTGCAAGAATTTACTAATTGGTAATAAAACTTTAATATTGGGTTTTGCGAGAAAAGAGTCTATTGTTAAGGGAAGTTACCACCTTCGTTGGAAAATTCTATGAGATTCTGAAAGAGGACACTGCCATAATACATGATTGAGATTGTGAGTTTCCGCGTCACATTGACAGGCCGGGCTGTCAATGACATTGAATTTAAAAAGGGATTCGTTCATGCTATTGGGGTTAGATCTACCACGACAAATCCAGACTATAAGTTGGAACTTCTAATGTTCTGTATGACCGATGCATATGACGACATCTATCGATAAGTAACTATTATATTTGAAAACAATTTTTCCATGAGATATTATCGTTATCAGATATAATATCACAGACGAGATATTCAAGTACGTCATACCACAGATGAGGTGTACGAGTAGACCTTTCACCCAATGTACTTTTTCGGCCCATTCTTCTGGAATCTCGAGACCCCATTACCATTTTCGTGTCACTCGCAACGTTACCAACAGGTTTAGAAATGGACACAAGTTCACAGACGATGTATACGAGTAAATCTTTCGCCAGAGATGAGGTATACTTTTGACTCAGACGAGGTATAACTCGTCTGTGCTTTTGACGTTATGGACTTTCGCGGCCGAATCTGACTGCCATACCGACCTGAAAATACGGAGCTGATTTTAGCGGCCTCTTCTCATGGATGGCGGCCAGTTGAGAAACTATTCATTGAATTAGCATTGATGGGCAGACAGCTGTAGTGTATGCGTAAGTACATGTGAGTTGACTATGAAAGGGATTAAAATTCATTTTTGAATCTATTGGTAACGTTGCGAATAAAAATGGATCAAAAAAATCCATTGGGTGAAAGATCTACCTGTATACCTCGTCTGTGACAATACTCTTGAATCTTTGATGAATCAATGAGAATCAAAATTAACCTAGCGAAGAAGCTCTATATTTATGATGATCTATGCAAAGCGGATCGCAGCCAATTTGCTAATATTATTTAGTTTTTAATTAATAATTGCATTACCCAGCTAAGAGTGATACGATTATTAATTAAACGCTAAATAATATTACCCAGGTCTCACTACGTGGATGTTGCTGCGAATGGAAACCCACCCTAACCGATTCCCAACCACCCTCCATTAATAAAGATCTTTTGTGACCAGCGATCGTTGGTCGAAAAAGCAATAAACGAAAGTGCAACCAACGAAAGAGTTTTTTGAAAAAGAATTTGCCTAACTATAAATCTAAATTCGTTTACAGCCCACCTATCTAATCATCTAACAAAATACATAGAAAATAGATTCTTCCTTGTTGATCCTTCGACGAAGATTTCCTGAAACATACTGTTACATTCTACCTAACTATACATCTAAATTATTAAAACATAAACTAAGCAATCTGAAACAAATTACATGAAATACATTATTTTTTCTTGTATCTTCTATTTATCCCACGATGATTTCCTGAAACACAAACAAAGCAATATCAAACAAAATTGTAACAATTCTTAATTGTTACTTCTATAAACGTAAAACTTTCATAGGAATATGTTCTGTAACAGAAACTTGTTTAATAGATTAGTAAGAGAACAAACAAAAATTTGACACCTGCAAGAAGCATATGCCCAACACTGAATCTGTAAAACTACAAATACATCAACTACAGGCAAGTGCAGTGACAAAGTAAAAATAGTACATCATAATATACGAGGTTAGTTTGAATCTAAAATGTATTCGTCGCAAAATATCTTCTTGATATATTTTAATAAGTAAAGAAAGATATCGATATCGAAGATACCCAAAGTCGCCAACTCAATTATGAAAGTGAATTTAATTATTGAAAAATGTAAAGAACAATCGGAAGCTACTAATTTGACACTCATTCTAAAATGAATATTGTTGATTTTTATTCAAAAGTGACACTCCTGATGCCACTGACTTTGATGACGCTGCTTCTCGTGATGTGTTTTCCGGACTCAGTTTCTTCCAAAGCACTGGATCCGGTACGAAGGACCAATTTTATGTTGCAACGCAGGATGACGATCGGTCTTGGTGTAACGCGATCGTAACAAATTAACTTGTTTAATTGAAACAATGATGACACAAGTATGTCTGTGTTCGGAGTGGTCTTTACGTGTGGTCTGTTTGCTGGTTAATTGATTGACTGCTTTCGTGATATACGGATAAAGAGCTCCTAGGCGGTCGGGGCCCTGGCTTATATACCCCTGGTCCCGTTCGTCCTTTGGTTTTCTTTCGCGCCGGGTGCAAAAGTTCTCGGCGCGTGCCGTGGAACATTCTCGGTCCTTCGAGGATCGAGAATATTCCGCGACACGTGCAGTAGATCGATATTGCACCCGGCCCGAATCGGTTGCACACGGCACGTGGAATATTACGAGAATTCGAGCAAGAATATAATATTACATTATTATATCCTGCAATATTATACATATCAAAGCAATCACATAAATTCGAAAAACAATGTAAAAGTAGAAACAGAGAAAAGAAACATTCATAATAACCAAATAAAATCAGACAGATAAATAAAGTTGAATTCACATCAACCAAAAAATAAAAGTAATTAAATATAAATAAGTGGAGTAGACTTACTACTTGTTGTCAGTACATAGATAGTTACCACTGGGCCAGCTGTAAAGTAAGAAAATATTCATATTATAGCAACATCAGTTAGACAAGAAAGGTAAAATCAGTTCATTGAAGCAAAATTAGCATCAAACGATAGAATAGAGGAGGGGAGAAAATTTTTAAACAGTTCTTACCGTTGGTCATCACCGTCCGGCACTGGTCAGTAGTGGTCAGTAGTAGTCAGTAGTGGTAGGAGCACTAGTTAGAACTGGTCAGTTGTGGTCAGTAGTGGTCAGTAGTAGTCAGCCATGGTCAGTGCTGGCCAGTAGTGGTCAGCAGTGGCCGGCAGAGGTCCCCGGTACTCTTCTGGCTATTTATACACTCCCGAATTCGCGACGAGACTGAAGAATTCTTCGCAATGGCCCTGCTTATATGTTTAAGATGATGAAAGGGTAGGGAGACCAGTCAGAGCCAAAGTTAAAGTTAACATTTAAGACTGTCTTGTCTACAAAGAAACTATTTCGATTGGTCCCACCTCTTGACCATTTCTGGATCTTCACTGGACCGCTGACCTTGATGTCAACCTCACTGTTGGCCACCAGTGACCATAAGCTAGTCATTGTTGATCATCGACCCATTAAAACCATTACTTTGGAAGAGTATATCTCGTTAATTTTTGTCTTTTTGTACGTCAGTTCGAACAATTGCCATACGTGAGCGAAAAATTCGGAGGTGATTTTAGCGTCCTCTTCTCATGAATGGCGATCAGTTGAGAAACTATTCACTGAATTAGTATTGATGGGCGGATAGCTGTAGATGTGCGTAAATACATGTAACTATGGAAGAGATTAAAAAACGTAATTTTCAAACTACTATAACTTCTACAATAATGAATGTATTTCATAGAACTTTATTTCTGAAGTAGAGCTCATTTAAAGTAAGTGTTGCGTTCCAAGAAATATTGACTTATCAATTGGAGAAAGAATTCGAGTTCTCTAAAACATAAACAGTTCATCGAGCATCGTGAGAACAACGAATGAGTTTCGTTGGCTCCCCCACTTAATTTAGTACTATAAGTAGAGCTGTGAAAATATAAATGCCACTCTTTCGTTCATCAACTTCCAAATCATTCAGAAATTATATTTTTATTTTTAAATCCTAGTCTAAGTTTTATTATTCAATTCCATTTCATATTCATATACCTATTCTATAGTAATTATTCAATAGATATATTTTTTCTATATTTAAGTACATAAATTAGCGTAATCCAATGAATTCCTTTTCCTCCACGACCAAGAACTACTTGCACGCCTCTATTAACGACATTTAAATTTTGTACATACAAATGATACTAATTAAAATTTTCAAACATATTTAAACGCTTTTCCCGCCTTCAACGTCAATAAATCCTGCAGTGAAAAAATACAGGGTGTTCGATCACTCCAGGGAAAAATTTTAGTGGGAGATTCTAGGGGCCAAAATAAGACGAAAATCAAGAATACTAATTTGTTGATTGAGGCTTTGTTAAAAGGTTATTAACGTTTAAAGTTCCGCCTGTAGAACGGCAATCTGCGTGCAGATGTGTACGCGCGATAATGGTTCTCATTCACAAAACTGTAAGACTGTTGATACATCAGTAAGTAAAGTTTCTCATACCGAATGAGAACCACTATCACGCGAACACAACTGTTCACAGATTGCCGTTCTACAGGCGGAACTTTAAACATTAATAACTTTTTAACAAAGCCTCAATCAACAAATTGGTATTCTTGATTTTCGTCTTATTTTGACTCCTAGAACCTCTCATTAAAATTTTCCCCAGAAGTGGCTGAACACTCTGTATGTATAACACGTTATTTATTCATACCATGATAATATATAAGATGATAAATAGAAACAATCATTAATAATAGGAAAAAAATGTGTTGACTTTACAATAAAGAAAAACATTATCGTTGCCAAACATTGTTCTATAATGTATAATGCATATTTACCTATATGACGTAAGAATTTAAGCCTTTCACCATTGGTAAACCGATGATCTTACGGAAGTGATTGAAAATAAACAATCGTAATTGTATAGCTAACAAAGATGTTTTCATTCAACGTCGATCTCGGTCATTCTTCGTAAAGTGAAAACTAAATAAAATAATAATTATAATATCACTAAAATTTATACCATAAATTTCTTATTATCAAGAGGTAAGTGCAATTGGCATGAATACTACCGTTAAAAATGTTATAAGACACAAATTTGACAGTTTCGACACGAACATAACCTATTTCATAGTCGTCAATTTTTAGCCACTCACAAAACTGAACTTCTTACTAACAAATTGCAAAATTTAATTATATTGTTGAAAAGTAAAGGCAACATATTGAAAAGTATGTCCAAATATTGCAATTATTTCTATCTAATAAATGAAAAATATTCATACACGTATTCATTTCTAATGTGTATCTATCTTCCTCTTTTTATTATAAATTATATTTATAATATTAGATATTTTTTCAGATGGGAAGCTTGCACTGACTAATGATAATTTAGAACTTTATAATAAAGGTACTAAACTTATTTATTTATCAAATGTTTTAACGTTTTATTCTACGCTTAAAAACTACTATAGAGTTACAAGATGAGCAAACTTAATTTTAACAATAAAGGTTTCAAATATTCTAATTTAATATTGACACGTATACATTTACAGATGTCGCTAACTTTCCAACAAATCATATTGGATGCTAAAAAATTAGTAATTAGAATATCAGATCATGAAAATACAGCGGACAATTTGATAAGTGAAATAGAATCAGTTTGTGCTCAAATTGATAACATAAAACAGGTGAAGAATTTATACTTCTAATTTACTATTAATTCTTTTAATTCATTTTTACTTATTTTACTCGTAAAGATCAGCATCCAAATAATTTGTTTAAATGTCATTTTTAATTGAAAATTCATAAAGTATGATTTTAAACAATAATATGGTATAAACAAATATTAATACTTTTGTTTATGTTAATTTTGGTTATGTTATGTTATTGTTAATTTAATTTATTCCTTTGATAATGTGATGCTGACGGGATACTTTAAAAAAATGATGATGACAATTAATTACAGAAATCAAATGTCATTTTTGATATTTTGTATTATGTATTCATAGTACCAGGATGGGATAGAATTTTTAAACAACGAAGCGAAACAGAGGCCACACTTACAATTAATCGCAGGTATACAAAGAGAGAATAAATATTTGCAAGAAGTAGAAGCAGAAAATAAGGAATTGAAAAATACATTGGAAGATCATCAGCATGCTCTTGAATTAATAATGTCTAAATATAGAAAACAGACAGCATCTTTATTACGTTTATGCAAAACAGATACTCCTTCATTAGATAATGCAAGATATGCTAATGTAAGTTGTTTACAATTATATCTACCGTATACTACTATAATAATTACAATAAAAGTTTTATTTAATAACATACATGTGGAATTAACCGGTCTATAATTATCCTTTAGGAAATTATCTGATCATTTGTATTTAATTTCATGTTGTTGAATCCATTTCATTTTCAAACATATACATATACTTGCTCTTCAATTTAAAATAAAATGCAAAATAAACTATGTACAATTGTATTGATATCGTCTATCCTATGTATTGATATACGAAATTTAATTTAAAATATTACTAATTGTTATAATTACATATAATTTATATGTAAATTTATAGATAATTACAAGTCAAGCAGAGAAAATCAATGAAATGACCGCAATAATGAAAACTGCAGTTGCCTTAGACGAGGAAAGCGAGTTGAAAGAAAAGGAGATGTATTATAAGTTAAAAAAAGAAAATTCTACACTACGAGAAATAATTAATATTGCAAATAAATATGGTTCCCTTAATAAAGAAACGGAAGCAGAAAATAAAACCGTTCAAACGGATCCAGTAGCGCTTTGAAAAAAACTTTACAATGGATACTACTCTTAAAATTAAGTTCATATTATTTATTTCGTATTTTGTAACGTAATTAGTATAAAAAAAAAATCGTAAACTTACATGTAATAAAGTGCACGTGCAAGGTATGATATGTACACATTAAATGTTCTTAATGAATTTTGTTAAATAAAAGTATTTTTGAGTCTTCCTTTTTATTTAATGTCCCAATTTCACTTAAAATAAAGATAATTTTTAAATATACATTCTATATTTCTTAATGAGTTCGAAATATTCTAACCAAAGTTGAACATTATTCGAATTGTTTTGAATCAAAATTTATCTCATAGTTTTCCAAATAAATTCTATTCAATCACATATTTTATCTATAGAATAATTATTCGTTTTTCGTAACAAATTTCTGTTATCATTTATTCGAATAATTCATTTGCATAAATAACAAGATTTATTCGAATAATTTTGCAACCTTTATCCAAATAATAATATGAATAACAATTCGTTTCGTCTAATGTTACTTTTTCGTTCATTAGGAACACAACAAGGACTGCGGAAAATAGCGAAAGTGAAAGTAATAAAATTATTTTATTTAATTTTATTTCTATATATTACAAAATAATCGAGCATCTACGAATTATAAAATATTTTGTAGATAAACTCCATAGTCTGAATATCTTAAGGAAGTATCCATAAATTTAATATGTATTTTTAAGGTATAATACGGTACAATGTCATCGTTTGCCTTGATGAAGAATTTAGTTATGCATCATAGATAAATCTTTTAAACAGCAATAAATTTTCTAACTCAACATATAATAAAAAACAATGTTTATCCGAGTGTGTTATTCAAATAAATTCTTATTCAAATAGATATTTGTTCATTAATGATGAATCCAGTCAAAATTTGTTAGGAACTCACGGGTCGGAATCGAAGTGTTACGTAGGGAAGACATGATTTCGTGCAATTGTTTCTTTCTTGTTTCTAGCCTTATTTAATTATTTCTCTCCTTCCGAAAGCAGGAGTGAGGAAGAGTGGTAGGAAAAGACATGCATTCCTAACGAACTTGCGCTGTATGTTTATTCTTGATATTTGTCTATTATCCGTCAACCGAATAAAATTTTGCCCAACTCCGATTCGAATACTCACGCACTTGTGCGCATGCGCTTAAAAAGTTTAGTAATAATAGGTATGCTGTCTAGGGGAAAGAGAAATCATTTACTTCTCGTATTTCTGAAACAATTGAAGAACGATCATTTTTACTTAAATATTCACATTCAGGGAATAAAAATTATACTGTGCGAAAGCTCAACAGTAATTGAACGAGTAACATTGTGTATTCGATATTCGTTATCTGTACTCGATGCGCTCAACTTTACAAGGCATACAGTGTATATGCATGCATATATAGTATAATAACCGCAGTTCCATCTACATTCTATCCTCCCATAGCAGCACCGTTAATGTGCATCGTGAGATGTTAGCGAGTTGCGTTTAAAAGAGAGTGTAGGTCAGTGTGGGTGTATATACTGCTGGTAAGCAGACGCACAAGTGAAAGGGTGATGGCAAGGAGTGGAGGTGATATTTAGTGATCTTTAACAAATGGCTCTGTCCGAGGTGCACAATTTGGCTGCAATTATCGGCAACAATGGTTTTAGTGTTAATAAGGTAAGCGACCGCGTCTATCCATCTTTGCCTTCATCGTAGAAAATGTGACGTTCATCTTCCTATGCTATAAGCCACAGCGCGATAGTCCCAACATAATGTGCACAAAAATGTGCAATTGTATTGTTTAAGAGATGCTATTTAGTCGATGAGAAAAAAAAATTATTACATTTAATACATAGAAGAAAAATTCTTTCGATTACTTGATAATTTAATTAATAAAAGTTACCCGATTGTAGCTCTTTGCTAATGCTTATGATACTGTAACTTTACTCACGATGAACTCCGATTTAAAATTGTCGGTGCTGAACGTAGATTGTTAACGAAGAAACAGATTTTTACTATACTGGAATTATGTCCATGTCATAATCCATGTTTACGCGTGTATAATTGCTTTAGCATGATATTTTCATGACAGTTATTTTATAATGGTACTCATAAAACGAAATTTGTAATACATTCGTGCAATGGAAAAAGTTTTAAGGAAACAAATAAAAATTTATACAATCAATCATATTTCTATATTGTTGAAATGTAATGCTGTTTTTTTTACTAGAATTTGTTCAAAATATGAACTTGACTCCTTTCTTTTTTATAGAACAACATGGTCGAACGCAACATTAGTATGTTGGAACCACGAAACAATTATCCAGTTGACCAATGCAATGCAGAATATAATTATTGGAACTATGACTTAATGGAATATAACACACAGAAAAATGTAAGGAACTTATAACAGCAAAGGAAGTTTATATAATATAGAAGAATTCTTTCTTCTCTAATGCATTGGAGGCTTTGTTTTAGAGAAAAATACATTCAACAAATTTTGACAATCAATTCACATTATTGGGCAATTGAAAATCCTTTTATTATAACAGGAAAATACTTTTAAAAAAAATGGAGTACAAATGTGTAAACCGAGATAATCAATACCAAAATTGTGGGTCCTTACTTTTTATCATAAGTGGTAGACCATTCTAAATGGTATATTATACTTAGATACTTTAAGCAATGAATTCATTATTAAAAGATATTTATATATCCATTAGATAAAACATGATGTATACTAATTTCTGAATCAGAAATTAACATCCTTAGATCTATACATATGGGAGCACATAAAAGATGTAGTTCGTTGTAGAAACATAACAAACCATTATCAATTAGAATTGAGAATCATCTCAGCATTTGAATAAATTAAAATGCAAAATGTAGTGCAAGAAGTTTAACATAATTAAATTTACACAGTCTAATTTTCTATACACAAAAATGATCGACATTTTAAACAATTTTTCAATTAAAATAAACTGATCAAATAACAAACTAAATTTGATAAAACTAAAATGTTTAATTCACTAGTATTGCTATTATATTCATTGTAGATATTTTCATTCCTAATAACAGTTTGAGGTAGAGGTAATTGTTGATAGTGAAAAGTACCTAACATTGTATTCCAATCACAATAGCCATCTATATTTTTGAATGCATTTTTCCCCAAAATAGAGCCTTGTTATTTTTGATTTTCATCTTATTTTGACCATAGAATCTCCTTTACTCTATTTGTACCACTAATTTTGGGTCACTCTGTATAGTAAAATATAAGAATATAGCATGATATTATATTCATTATATGTATCTTAATTGCTTTGTTAACAATTCATATATTAGAAAATAACTACTTAGATAAAAATATCAAGAATTGTCTTATCTTTTATTTACCAAATTCATTTGTCAAATGTGACAATATTTCAAAGAATAATCTATCAACATACAGTAAATTTCATTTCATATTATTGAATTAAATATAACAATTATTTGAAATATTTATATTTAATTATTTCACAATATTTGCCTTGCATAAAAAGAAATATATTCAAATTGAGTATAATAAAAATTCATATAGTGTACATGCTTATACAAGGTGTCCTAGGTTTGAATGGTCAAAGATAATTTATAGCAAAATGTGGCAGTTAAATATATTGTTTCAAGATTATTTAAAATAAAAATCTTATTACAATACTAATATAATTTTTTTAATACTTTATTTGTATAGATGAATGTAAAAGACGAAGATAGTCAGGATTTAAATAATCCTATGGTCAATGATTTGGTCTCTAAAATTCTTGATGATGATTCGATTGTTGGTGACAATGCTCATAGTAATAGCTACAATTGCAATATTCAGTATCATTCAGAAACACAGTCTTCGATCATGGAGAACAACACAGACCTCGATCTTACAACCATAGATCATTTTAATATGCATTCTACATTCAACAAATTACAAAACAGTGTTTCTAATAACACTAAACTTGAATGCAATTATAACAATCTTTGTGGAGAACTTAAAACATTGAGTCTTAATACATGCATGGGACAAGTACCAGACCAAGGAAATTTATATAATAATGGGGTTAATGCATATCTAAATACATACCCATCTGATTCACAGTCATACATATTACGTCCGAATGATGAAAATTCCTGTATTAGTGGAAGTATTATGCCTCTATGTAATGATTTGTTAACAACAATGAATGAGACAAATTCGAGTAAACAGACTACCAACTGGTCAGAAAATTTGTCGACTACTGGATGTACGTCAGACTTGTTCGGAAATTACGAACGTATACAAAATTGCACAAACCCGGATCTCAATTTTAATATAGCTGACCCAATTACTCTTAACGAACTAGAGTATCACAATAATATTGGACAAAATGGAACTTCTAATACATATAATAATCCTACGGCTACTATGCATGAATTGTATAGTATGACTGCCAATAATCAAAGTTACAGACCAAGTTCAGCAATGACTGATTTGAGTATCGATTCTGGCTTTCTCTCAAATTCTCCATTACAACATTTTTCTCCCGCCGATACAAATTTGCATAATTGTTTTGGAAATAATATACAACGCAGTAACGCCAGCGACTATAAAGATTTACAAGATTCGGGTAGATTAAGCATGGCTAATATCTCTATACCAAACGAACAATTTCAATTTCTGCAGCAACAAGCTCGTAGTTATAAATTGGAACAAGCTGTGGACCAAGAATACAAACAACTAATTGACTATTATCCAGGTATAAATGACTTCACCGCATCGTCAATCAATAGCTTAGACACGAATGAAAATTGTCTTTCAAATAACGATTATAGAATCGATAATAATTTATTGAAAATTATCAGTCCAAAATCAAAGACTATCGAAACTAAGACATATTCGCCGATTGGTTTTCCAAAAAATCTAAGTTCTCGTCACACTCATCAATCAATTGCAAAATATGGATACCACAATTATCAACATTACACTGCCAATAACGGCGAGACTTTGAAAATGTTACCACAGACTTCTACATCGTATCACGATTTAAAGCAGCCTAATAGCACTAACGCATATAAAATGAAAGGATTTGATCTTACCAAAGAAATAGCTTTGCCTTCCATGAGTCATTTGACCAATCGAATTGCAGGGTCTTCGATGAACAAGGAGAGTTTTAATTACATTGTGAAACAACAACATCATATACCCAGAATACAAAGTACCCCTGGTATTTCATCGGCCGAAGTCCTCTTCAATTCAGGAATAGTACCAAATCCAAGTACAGTAAGATCTGGAGTATTCCCACCAGTAATGCCAGTTCCTGTACCGCTTCCAGCTCCGCGTCTATTTTCTGTACTCTATGGTGGAGGTTTAAGTCTTAGAAATGGAAGTGGAGCAGCTAGACGTACAGCTCCTTCGAGTATACTACATTTTAGATTGGAACAAACTTACGAACAATTTAAACAATTAGAAAAAGAGCGAAAGAAATGCGAAGCTGGATTGGCTGCTCATTTCCCTGGCAAGAGAGTAACAAGTGCAAACAATATACCTATTCCTCGCCTCCAAGGAAATCCATCGCGCGTAGATCGTTTAATTGTTGACTATTTAAGAGAACATGCACGTGTCATAACTTTAATAGCAAAGGTAATTAAATAGACATTTGTTTTTTTTTTTATATTGATAGTGATAAAATAATATTAATATACAAATTCTATGCTTTTTTAACAGATGGAACGACTGCGAGGGACCACTATGAATCAACGCGTTCACAAGGCTATGGAGTATTGGTTGGAGGCAATCAAATTCGTCCAGGAATGTCGTAAAAGAGAAATCGCAAATGCCACTAAACGCCAGAATGAAAATCCACCATATATTCTTGTATATAATGGCAATGGTATGTACATATGTTTATTTATTTAATACTTTAACCCTTTACGAATGGGTGTCTATATGTACTTATATACGCCAACAGTCTGGCTAGAAAAAAGTTACACGCCAAATTCGAGAAGTGGGGGAAGACATGATGTGGGGCCCCACTATTACCCTCGTACCGTACAGAGTAGGGAGAGAAGCAGCAAATGTTCCTATTGTTCCATTCCTTCTCCCACCATTTTGCACGGTACGAGATAACGAAGGCCTCCACACATCATGCTACTTTCCCCCTTTTAGGTGCGCTAGTCTTTACTTGCCTTCCCTGCGCGTAACACGGGCGAACGATAACGACATAGTTCAATTCAGTCAATTAAACTTTGTGTACGTGCGAGATGGTCGACGTTGCTAAAGTAATTTGAGCTCTCAGTTATTGGTATTTAGATTCGCAGAAGTTTTATTAGAAGTATAGTAGAAGTGGTGAAAATCTTCAGTATTCTAGTTATCAATTTTACCGCTGTTTCTTTCTGTATATTTTTTCCAACTATCCTGTAATAGATTTCAGAGATGTTTCTTGGACCTAGAAGCCTAGTTTTTGATTCTACTATACAAAGTATAGAACAGAGTTCAAATGGCGACTATGGTGGTTATATCATTGTTTTTAGTACTCCTCTTTCTCATTTAAATAATTTTTAAACAATATCGATGTGTGTTTTGGATCGCTATATTGTTGTAAAATGAAATTGTTGCCAATAAGTCGAAGTCTAAATAGTATCATGTGTTCTTTTAGAATCATTTTATATCCTTTGTTTAAAATTTCCGGTTTCATCGAAGGAGAAACATACCCAAACTAAAACAGATTGCCCACTTTGTTTAATTGTGGGTATGATAATTTTAATTTATTCGCAATTTGTTGAATCAACATTTTTTCCTTTCGAAGAGTAATAACAACACTTCTAATTTCTATTTCTTCAGATTTCGGAGAAGATTAGTGGATATTCATTGTAAGTGGTAACTTATACAGGGTGTTCGGCCACCATTGGGAAAAATTTTAATGGGAGATTCTAGAGGCCAAAATAAGACGAAAATCAAGAATATCAATTTCTTGACTGAAGCTTCATTAAAAAGTTATTAAAAAATGAAATTAAAAAATTTCAAATCGTTCTGGAAATATTATTTTCAGTTGTGGGGGTCAATTACAATCAGTTTTGGTGAATAGACATAATTTCGAAATTCTACCCACTTTCGAGAAAAAAATTCGAGAAGCTGTGAAATTTTTCGACAAAAATAAAAAATTTCAAATCGTTCTGGAAAAATTATTTTCAGTTGCGGGGGTCAATTACAATCATTTTTGGTGGATAGACATACTCTCGAAATCCTTCGCACTTTCGAGAAAAAATTCAGTAAGGTGCCTAAATTTTTCAAATTTGAAAAAAAATTTCAAATCGTTCTGGAAAAATTATTTTCGGTTGCGGTGGTCAATTACAATAATTTTTGGTGAATAGATCTACCCCCGAAATCCTACCCACTTTCTACAAAAAAATTCAGTGCTAGCGGAACTTTGAACGTTAATAACTTTTTAACGAAGCCTCGATCAACAAATTAGTGTTCTTGATTTTCGTTTTATCTTGGTGTCTAGAATCTCCTATTAAAATTTTCCCCAGGGGTCGCCGTACACCTTGTATACAATATTTGTGTGCATAAATAATTATGCATTTCGAATTCCCCAAGAACCATAAGAACCTATCCTGTAAAAAAACTTTTATTGCAACCATGTCCAAAAATGGCCAATTTTTTCCATTGTTCTTTGGTTAATTTGATAATACGTGTCTTTGTTTCTTCTAAGAGTTTACAGTCTCGAAGCAATGTGTTCGTAGGCACTCAAATGCCCATAAACAACAGTTTAAGAAACGGTAACTTATTTTGTTGAATTATGTTCACAGATATATTAAGTTTGGCCGCCAGCGTCTACGAATTGACCAAGGCATCTCGATATGCAAGAACTGGTATGTATAATGCATTGCAAGCTACGTTACTATATGACTTGGACATAGAAAAAAAAGTAATCGAAACATCTAATGATCCGGTACTTGTGATAAAACGTAACGAGAATCAGGCAGTTACCGATGTCAGTAATTATTCGAATTGTACCTAGCAAAATTTCGAAAGCTGCTTTTCCGTTACGTGCGAGAAAACATAAACCGAGCCCAGCAGCTTTTTATTTACGTATTCCGTGTTACGTTTCTGAAAAGCTTTTGCTGGAGTTTAATCATAATTTTATCGCTGAAGAGAAACAAAAAATGCCGCCCACTAATAGCGAAGCATCCGATGCGTCGTACGGAAAAATAAACGCGTACTCACGCCGAGATAGGAAATATCGTATGCGTGTCTACTTTTTACAAGTTAATAACGACTCCATAGTTTTCTACTGTACATATTTTTATCCCTACTATAATACAGTCTTGGGAATGTCAGTTCTGGTATTTAATATTTGTGATCCAATCATCTATGGTATATCGCACTTTCAAGCGATTTTGCTTGTTACTTCGCTAACAGACTAAACGAGAGAAACTCACAGACGTCGACATTGTTTATCTTTCGACATTGTTTATCGACGTATTGTCTTGCGTGTTTCACAATGCCAAAGATAATCGTTTAAAAATTAACCGAGGTTCCCGAAACTTGTAGAAAATAATACGAAGAACATGATTGCTCAGACGTACTAAAACAAAACTAAAAGAATGTTCGCAAGAATCTCCAAACTATTACTTGTTTGCGTATGTGTCATAGGGTTAGATGATATAGGCTAAATCTTACCAATATATTTGTTCAGAGTGCTAGGCAGTAATTTCTTAGACTAGTTCAATGTGGCCTTCCTTAAATGTGTAACCCAAGATGTGTGTCAGGTAGTTGAATATCTCGAAACCTTCGAAATATTTCGAATACTCAAGACCGCGATGGTAACTTAATCGCAGATCGGGTGAGCTTTTCAATCTGTGAACTGTGCGCAGCCTTTCGATCTGATCGGTAATAGATAATATATATACAACGCAAATGATGTCCACTATACACTACACGTAAATCTTTGTTAAAAGAGAACTTTCCTAAGGCATACTCGCTAACACGCTCATTCGCATGAACGTGATTCGGCGAGTACGTACAACGTAAGGTACAGAGAATTTTTAACGTGTGCGTACGCGTAACACACGTAACTATTCCTACATACTTATGTGTATATGTATATGCATTATGTGTATATATATACACATAAAACGTTCTAGGCAAATTTGTTAGTTCTACACGGCCGACTTGCAAAGTTCAGCATTTCCAATTACTCAGGTTTGAGTAAGCTCTTTCACACAATGACTATATAACCAGCTCAAGAATTTTAACGTTCCAACGTGTACGACTGTACGAATCTCTTTAATTTTTTTGTTCTTTTTCTGTTTTTAATTTAAGACGCGATGAAATCGCGTATTGTTCGAGTTCCGCGGAAGACATCGAGAATCGTTCCCGTATTCCTACGAAACTATAGGTATTCGCACAACGATAACAAGGTACTCCGAATTTAAAAAAAAAAACGAATCTAGTATCCACGGTAGTAGGAAGAACGAGACAACGAGACTCAAACGCGACGTTTCGGTTGTCTCGAGGTCTAATTTTCTCGATACCTACGCTGAATCGATCGGCCTGTATTATCATTATAATGCTCGTGAATCGGTTATCGGTTGTCAAACGTTGGTAAAGCTTTAATATAATCATCTGTGTATATATCCGTCAACTTCCATCTGAACTGCATCGTACGTAGTAATTCCCGATCGATTAATCCAGGGAAAGGTGTGTTGGTTTAATTCCTCGATACTACTATATCAATCGTAGACGAGACATCGTAGCGAAGTATTTAATTTAGTACTAGTAAATATTGTGTTAATCGAATAGGAATTTTCTGATTGTCTTTGCCGCCGACCACAAGCACGTACGAACGTTACACATTTTGGACAACCTTGTCCCTCTACCGGGACGCGTTTTACAAAATTGTTAGAGATTTACAGAGTTTTATATTGATATTCTATTTCTCTCTTATTCGAAATCGATTTATATCGATCGACGATCATAGTCTTATCAACTTGGTGCGTTTAAACGTGTAATCGCGCATTGGTTTTGCTTTATCTCAATCGTTCGACGCGTTGACTGCCACACCATATTTCCCTGTCTAGGGATATCCTCGACGTTTTGTCAAATTACAGCGTAACGAATAGAAGTATTTAATAGTCGAACGGAGTACTTGTTTTGTAGTATTTCTGATGTCAACGACATCAGAAATTTACATGTTTTAAAGAGCGATCGCCATGCCAGTCAACGCGTTAACGAAACAATTTTTCTACCTAGTCGTATTGGTAAGGGAGAAATAAAATTTGTTGATTCTAGACGTAGAAGAAATTTTGGATGACAAAAGATATTAACGTTAGGGAAATGGCGTTTGCTCGATTGCGTGGAATAAAAAGTTACATCAGCGAACTTTCTATTAAACGCTACGGAAGAAGGGGGTGACGATCGCGCTCGGCTGCAAAGACAATCCTGGAAAAGGACCTGGTACTAATCAAGTTCTCCAAGAACGCAAGATATACATACAGACTGTTAATTCGCTTTTACATAGCGCTTATGTAATCATTGGGGACCATGTCGAGCATCGTCTCCGTGTCAACATACCTTAGGAACTCATTTTCATTACACGAAGGAACATCTTGCATTTCTTCACCACCTCTTTTCCATTAGTCTAATTTCAAATATACGCGGTACGTGGTTTAAATAAGGGATTCTCGTTTCACGTGTATTCAGAATACGCGTCTACGCAAACAAAAGTTACTTCAAATAACGAATAAATCGATTTTATCCGATATATTTGTTCTTTGAATTATTCATTATTCACGAATCTATACCAGCGTTCAGTGAAATTTTATTCGGATAACGGATCAAAATCAAGAATAACATTCTATTTACATCGATGAGTAAACGTATATTCGAGTAAGAAATTGTTTAGTTAAAAAATTATTTGCATAAGTATTCATCTGAAAATTCATTCAAATATTTATTTAAGAATGTACAGACAGTACTAAACATGAATCATAACTATTCATGAATGCATATTAGAGACGGGTCAAAAGTGACCCAGCATCGGTTGGACGTATTAACTACGCGTGCACGCGTATCTTAAATACACGTTGAAATCGTGACCTCCGGTTTAAACTTTTCTTGCGTTATTCTTCGTTTGCGTCCCTCTACGTCCCCTATGTTCGTTTCTTACCTTCTCTACAGGATGAATGAAAGCAAGCAGCGAGAGAAACACGTGCTGTCTGCGCGACGTTTACTCTTTTCTCTTCTCCCCTCCCTAATTGAAACATGTGTCCGGGATTGAAAGTATAGGTTTAGTGAAAATTTAAAAAAAAGTAAAAGGTATATATATATATATATATACACACATATATATATGTATATGCGTGCGTGGGTGTGTGATGTTAGTATAGGATAGATTATCGAATGCTCATAAGCGTACAATGAACAGATTACTGTCGCTTGCGTTACGATAGGAACGAGATACACAAGCTGTGCGGTGTGTTAGCTGCGAAAAAGAGCAGGCAGTGCTTTACAGAATTTCCTTCCGCATTTGTCGACGTATTGTATTGTAACTGTGATATATATAATGCCAATTTGTACATAACTGTGCAGAATTTTTCGCCGCAAGAACACGTCACGCGCAGCCAATCAGTTCGTTTTTTTTTTTTTTTCGTTTTTTTCTTTGTTTTTCTTTCGCTTGTATTTCTTTTTGGCATTTTTCGCTTCGCGAGGCGCTTGCTGTTTCCGTGTAACAAGGAATGTGATACCGATAGATAAACTTACGCGTCCGATTGTAACCCGGTGTCGTTAGACGGGTTGTATTATTTGCGCACGCGCATCGAAGCGATATAGCAAAAACGAGCCCTCTGTTTAATTGTTTTGTTCAAAAGTATTGGAAATTAACACGTTTGCTGCCATGATAGTCACTGGTAACGGGCATCTCAATTTACAACGCGTTTGTTTACAACGAATGTACTCTGATAACTACAAAATTTTGACCCTTTGCATTTTTTTGGCGGCTCATTTTTAGAAAAACAGGAATGGCGTCGTATTTAATAGTTTAGCTTTGAAACTGACAAGACTATTTAACTGGAACTGTACACACTGGTAGATCTCGACACCTTTACGAAAATATACCATTATAGGGTCAGAAACACAATACTTTTCTAGTTTTTCAATATCTGTAAGAACTCTGTCGATAAAATCTAATTTTTCAAAAGGAAGAAAAATTATTACTGACTTTAGATTATTAACAAAATTTGATATTTTTTTATCGTTACGTGTCATTAAGATCGCAATAATCTAAACAGATTACAAAATTTGTTATTTCTTACATTAATGCAATATAAATTTGTGAAAAAAAGAATTGTAGTTGCTTTTTCGTTTGAATTTTGACATTAAAATGATTAAAAATAACAAGTACACCATTGCATTATCGAATATTTTTATTCTTGACACTAATTTGAACAAATATCAGATATATGTAAACATTGAAAACTGGCGTGGCAGTGAACGTGTTAAAAAATAGTATGTGTAAATTATTACTATGAAATATTAAATAATTTACATAAAATATTAACACAAAGGATAAGCTAACATTTTTTTGGCAGAAATTGTTGAGAATACGTCTAAAAAAATTAATTTCTTTGGCTTTGATGACCATTTGCACGTGTTGGAATAAACCAAAATCCGTCTAACAATACTGTTGTAACCACAAGGGGCGATCAGGAGGATTTTCGAAAAATCCGCGTGTCGCTTAATCGATAGTACTTAGCTCGACTAATCGTCAATATCGTGCAATCATCCGAATTATCTACGCTAGGTGTAGTTGGCCTCTTACGAATATCCAGTTTCTTGCAATCGGTGAAAGAAACGCCACGGTGTCTTCGTCGATATATTATTTATTCGTGTCTGTTACTTTCCGAATGTTTCGTTCGGATCGTACGCAAAGAACTGATGTACATATAAGTTTCGTACCGTTATACAGTAATTTCGAGTTTCTCTTCGAGTTTCTAAACAAATATCAACGTTTTACCGGTATTCAGTCTCTGTTGATAATTTATTGCGAACGTCAGCCAGTACAAACGCTGCTGGGTTCAAATTTCACGCAGCATCGTGGTTTTTCTTCGTATCGTCGATGGCTTTCGAAGCCTTGCCGGTCGATGGAGAAGCGTGTTTGTTGCGTCGAAATCGTACAAAAGAACTCTCTTCACCGAACAAACGGAAAACATTTCGCTGCAAAAGAAGGGGTCGACGGAAAATAAGTATCTATTCGGGTTCGTCCATTTTCCACGCGCGAACTTCTGTTTTTTCTTCCTCCTCGTAAGGGCACGAAGAAAGCTTTCGCATAAGGCTACGTATAGATATGTGCATGCGCACGTATCAAGTGATTACCTCGTGTCGTATTTATCATACGCAGCATCGTTTAAGAATAGAAACACTATCTACATAGATACGTGTTTGACAATCCTATTTAAATTGCATGTGATATTATATATTATTGAATAGCTAAATATATATATGTATCTATGTATGTATACACATACACAGGATGTTTCGCAGGCTCCGTTAGAAAAGTATTATCTTTTCTCCCTGAAATACATTAACGATATCGATACAACTTTTCTTCAAACTTCACAACTGCAACTTGAAAATATTAAATTAAACTGCTATCTCCATTTTCTTGCCCGCCATTTTCCTCGTATCTTAAACATTCGGATCAATTGGATCGTGCTATATCTTATTCTGATTTTTCTTCACACGTATCGTTCGTAATATTTACATATCGAAAGAAGTATGGATTATATTTTTAGTAACGTGCTTGTGGCAAAAAAACAATTATTTGATAGAAGCATGCCCGAATGTAAAGAAATGCCAAAGTAATCTTCAGAAAGCAGTAGGCACGTTCAAAAATCCACAGTAATGTTAATCGATAAACTTCGAATAACATTTGAAGATTAAATTAAAGATGTACGATTTTAACAACAATTTTGTTTCAGATTCTCAAGTTGTATCTTCCTTGCTACAGTCAGATCAAAATTCACTGGTCGGTCAAAGCTAACGAGGACTTTTCCTGAGAAAAATTAAGGTGCCACGACGTAAAAACTGAAGTCGTATTTGACATGATTCACAATGGGAGTGATGATGTTGAGCAGCCAGTTGAATTTAATCCGACTGTAAAAAGGATTTGAAATCAAAAGACCTATTTGAACGATGAAGTTGTAAAACAAAAATCACATCAACGTCCTTGAATATATTCACGAAAAGTTGTAACAAAATTAATGAAGCACTATGTGCGTGTGTATAGACAGTATATACGTGCACGTATATGCTCATACATACGAATACGCAAATAAATATATGAGCGTTCGGAGCTCATTAAAGCTACATAGGAACAATCTTAAGCGTCCATAAACACGTGTATATAAAGCAGACAAGGTAGCGACGAAGAAAAGTAGGAAAAAACCGACCAATGTTTAACTCACGAAATTGTCAAGGTGTATCGTTAGTGTATGCAGTAAGGTTAACGATTCCTTTGCCTATCGATGCGTGGAATATAAACTTTGAAAATACTTATATTAAATAACGTTTTCAAAATTGCAAACGGTAAATAGAATCGCTACAGGATTATGCAACAAGAATAAACGTACGTGCGAGAAGAAACAGTGTTTAATTTCATTTATCGTATAATGTTACTGACTTTGAAATTTTTATATAAATTTGATTGTATATAGTTTTTAATAATAGTAGATTTCAGATTCTAGTTTCAGTTCTTGCTTAAACGCGCGTCAACTTCTGATATAATACAGAAATTTTATATTACATACACAATTTTTAAATGTATCTGAAAATATCAGACATTTCACAAATGTCAGATACTGGTTTCTTTCAGTTTTAAATTATTCGTTGACGGTTAAATTTGTCCTTGAACGATCATTGATTTTAAGCATGATGCAGTATATTTCATAAAAATAATCGATAGGTACTTGTCATAGCGACGTACTAAAAGAATGAAAATAAATTATTATCACGTTATTTACAGGACTTTATTTTACTGCGATACGATAAATATAGTTGGACAAACTTTTGAACAAAAGAAATACCATAAATGATATTAAATGCTGTCTCGATAAGTAGAATTCGCGTTCTTTTTATCTTGCAGATGCTATTTTCAATTTCTACGTTTAAGAAATATTGTACTCTGTTGAAACTGGCTATTGTGTCGTTTTAGTAATTTTCGTTTGCTTATTTTCTTCGTTTCTAATTTGTCGATTCATCTGTCTTGATACGAGTTACGAGTTTATTAATGATTTATATCGTTATTTATTACATCGGAGACGCGGTACTTAGGAAAGATGAATCGAATTCGTAATTCGATTAATCAATCCGATACGAAGCAAGTAACAGACGTATGGTCAATTGAGGGGTTACATTGATTAGTTGCTAATGTAGTAGACAACTTATACCGTGTTATTAATAATACGTTGATAACCGACCAATTGAGCAATCTCGTCAGGAAAACAGTTAACTATGTGGCACTAATAAAACGCTACGTGCTCAAAGATACTCGTAAAAAAACTAATCTCTGCAGTATGAACAAATAATGCTTGATACAATGCTCACACGTGCACAAATTACTGCACATCGTATTTGTCCCGTCAGGAGGCAATATCTTTTTCCTGGAACGATCGTACTTATAGTCGGTTGTATTCTGTATAGTAATAGCAACGGAATAGTAATTTATATTATACTTAAAGAATTTTATCGTGCAGTTGTGACTAGGTTCGTTTCAACTACTTTTAGAGCAGCTACCACGGCCACGATATCCTTTTTATTCTTCTATATTCGCTTTACGATCGTGCACGTTTGGATTTTCCTTCTCTGTATTAAGCAGTACGCGTGCCATGTGCTAAATTTGTATCGTAAACGGGAATCTGCGTCGCGTTTATATTGTATTTTTACAAATTTATACGGATATCTTAATTTTACGAACAATACGGTGCCGTGATAAGTAAACGAGCATATTTATTTCTCTTCATATATAATATAAGATTATTTTGCTTGCTTTTCTTCGTGGTACTGGCAAATTTAATATTCGGCACATGTATGCAAACAAGTAAATAATATCGAGGAAGAAAATGCAGATTTTAAATAAATAGCGTAGCGTCCGATAAGGTAGCGTTCGTCCGTATTCAAACTACTTGGGCTACCGAAATTTTTACGATAGCATCGGTGTAACTCTATCCTTCTATGGTATTCGATAAAAAGTAGTTTTGCTACAACTTTGAAA